TTTCACCTCCTTGGGGTACAAGTCACATGTGGTGTGGGTCTTGGAGAGCTGACTTCTCCAGCACTGAAGTGACAGGTAACTCTCCTAGTACACCTGCTCTCATCCTTTCAGCTCACCAAGGTATTTGGCAGAAGATGATGCTAATAATAGTGTTGCCTATTGTCTGCATTTTTCATGATTAGTGACTCATTGAAATGCCTCGCATCTACAGGCAGCTGGGGCCAAATGCCAGATTGGGGGCCTGGTGGAAGAGGGATAGAGGGCAGCTGGCCCATGAGTAGCCTCAGAAAGTGGACTCAGATTTCTTGCTTTGATCTAGCCTCTCCCTCCTTTCTGCACTATTGGTTAAAATACAGTAGAAGTATGTGAGGTTGAGTAATAACTGAGGGACCTGGAGGCAAATTACTTAACTCTTTTGCATCTCAGTGCCTTGTCTATAAAATGGAGAAAGCGATAGAGGCATTGTGAAAGTTGAAATTGTGCATCATGTATTCTTTTTTGGTGTCTTGTCTTCTGCTCTGTGATGGCACAGGTTCAGCTGAGAATGCCTCATCTTTGAGTCCTGTGACTCATAAGATGACTGTGATAAAGAAGATAAAAGTTAACTATTTTATTTAGCACTAAAATATGTTCTTGGCAGATGCAGAGATGCTCTCATTTATCTTAGATATTATCCCCATGTTGCAAGTGAGGACAAAGCTGGAAAATCTGTTCTGAGATACCTCACTAGTGAGGGGACAAGGCAGAATGCCACTCAGGTGCCCTGGCTAAGTAGCCACTGCCAACTCATTGTGAGAAGTGTCCAGGGAAGAGTGCATGAGTTCGTGAGCAAAGGTCATGTTCTCTCCTTTCTGCTTTTAAAAGTGAGGGTAAACAGTAGAAAATCTCATCCCTGCAGATAGCAGATAGGGGATGAAGTTTAGGATAAAATTTGGCTGACATGATTCTTTCTAGGGCTCTTGTCTCCAGTGGACAGTGAAGAGATCAAGGCTCAGGAGTTTTAGAAGTCTGGCTAGAGTAAGAGTTGGCTCCAGGGTCCTTGTTAAGAGAACCACTAGTCAAATTCTGCCAATCTGACACTTGAGGAAACTGTTTCATAGAGGGGAGTGACCTGCCTGAGGTCATTTGGTAGAGGAGGCAGCACCTGGGCCCAGGCTCCTGACACTCAGCCATATACTCTTCCTGATGCCCCAGGCTGATGACCAGGTTGAGACAGTGACCCATGAAGAGCTCTGGGGAAAGTTGGCTGGGTGTCTTGCAGGAGGGTGGGGTAGGAGGATGGTGCTGCAATGGGGAACTATCTTCATGATTTCTCTTTAATTCTGTTCTGGGGGTTTGGTATCTAGAAGAAAGAGCTACAGTCAATTGCCAAGTAACCTGGGTTCTGATCTTAGCCTGGAGCTGGCTTGCATGGTGGGCACTCAGCAAACCTGTTAGAGCCAACTGTGTCTTCATTGTAAAGGTGATATGCAGAGAATGTATAGGACTTACCTAAAGTAACAAAGCATACCATCCTTCGAGGACTCCACCAGGAATGAAGCTGCTATTGAATTCAGTTTTAGAGGAAGAGTCAGGAAAACTCTTTTTTCGTTTTCTGTCTTTTCCACTTTCATATGCTTATACCCTGGGGCTAGCATAAGATCAGCTTGAATTCCCTTTCCTGGTTTCCCTTTTTGCTCCTCACCACCTTCTCTTTGCCCAGTAACTTTTGGGCTTTTATCCTTAAGCCTGGACCCATTCCCCATTGCAGCACCTTCTTCCTACCCCACCCTCCTGAAGAATTGCCAATTCTGCTTCCTTGAGCAAATTCTTCCATATTCAGACTCTTTTATCATCACTGATTGTAGTAGTTTAAATAATAGCCACTCGATGGAAAAGGGATGATACAAAGAAGGAAATGGCTCCCAGTAGGATCATCCTAGTCTCAGGTCTTTAAAAGAGAAGGATATCATCAGGTCCTAATCTCTGGAACTGTAAATGCTACTTCATTTGAAAACAAAAAAATGTCTTTGCAGATGTGATTAAATTAAGATTTTGAGTGGGGATGGATCATCTGGGATTGTCTAGGTGGGTCCTAAATTCCACTGGTCTTATAAAGATGAAAAAGACAGAGAAAGCTGAAGACAGGGGCAGATCATTTAACTGGGAGGAGTGGGAATGGAAATTTACAGTTTCATGTATACAGAGTTTCATTTTGGACTGATCAAAAAGTTGTGGAGCTAGGTGATGGTGATGGTCGTATAACAATATGAATGTAGTTAATGCTACTGAATTACACAATAAAAATGGTTATGATGGTAAATTTAATGTTATATGAATTTTAACACACACACACACACACACACATACGTGCACGCACAGGATTAGAGTGTTGTGGTACAAGCCAAAGAATATCAACAATCACTAGAAATTGGAGGAGTCAAAGAAGGGTTCTCTTCTAGAATTTCTAGCATGTGACCCTGCTGACACCTTGATTTCATCCCAGTCAATTTCTGATTTAGCCTTCGACCTGCCAGGACTATGAAAAAATAAATCTCTGTTGTTTTTAAGTCACTGAATTTATGGTAAAGTGTTACAGGAGCCATCGGAAATAAACATACTGATCAACAGCCTGTTTCCCTGGGCTTTCCTTACCTGAATCAAGAGGCGAGAAAAGCATTGGACAAAAATATTCAGAGTATCTTTCTAGTTCCTCTGTTTTCACTAGTGTTACAATAAGGATCCTTTATCCTCATTATTCAAAATAGTCCTTACTCTCTACACTGTATTTCAGATGTTCAGAAAGATAGCCACAGATTTCAAGTGAGCTGTCCATGGTCTGTCCTGGCTGGTGGCTGAGCTGAGATTTAAACTAGGTATGTGAGTTTCTTCCTCAGTTCCTAGTTCCTCAAACCCAGTGGCTCTGTACCTAGGCTGTTGATTTCATTATGTGATAAGTCTATTGTTTCATGGTTTTTCCATCTTAGAGTCTCTTTCTAGAGTCGTAGTTCAGTCAGTGAGAAGTAGACACTGTACATTTGAGGTGTGCTGAGGAGGAGCTCTCAGGGAGTGAGGAGCGTGGAGATTCTATCTGGCACAGAGCCAAATGAAAAAGCTTTGATGAATGAGTGAATGAAAATGGATGAAAGGCAAGTTGTTTTGTAGTGTGGTTAACAGCTGAGTTCTAAGTCTTGAGAGGCAGCTACATCAAAAGGTTTCTGCTTTGGCTTCCTCTGAAGCTCTTTTTGGGAAGCAGCATGCTGGCCCTGGACATGGACTTATCTAGTTTGCAGTTCTGGGGCACAAATGGAGCAATGGGGGACACTACATGCATGCTGTCTAAAGAATGGCTTTTTGATTGCAGCCTCAGTGGGAAGAACAAGTCTTGTTGAGGGAGAATGGGAAGCAGACCTGTGAGGTAGAGGGCGCAGAGGAGCTTAGATTTGGGAGTATATTGTTGTTGACTGGGGGACAGGGGGGGCTCTGTGAAGAACAGAGTCCGGCAAGATTTATGTGGCCCTTCTCTTCCCTACATTTCCTCATTAAAGCAAGGTTGTCCTCTCCCAAAGGGCTCAGTGTCTCTGGGGCAGCCCCTGAGAACACCTTCCTAGCTAGTCCTGCCTTGACTTAGTTATAGGGCTGAGGTTGCCACTGGCTTACTGTGTAACCATGAGAGCATCATGTCTGCTCTCTCTCAGATATCTCCCTTCTGAATCTGGGATTTTAGCTTAGTCTTTTGTTTCTGGATGGGCAGACTGAGTCTCCAGGAAGGGCAGGGATTAGATGGATTCCTTGTTATGGGTTCTCCATTGTCTTTTCTTCTGTGTGCTTTAAGAAGAGCCCCAAAGCATATAACAGTATCTGAGGGGAATTGTTTCTAGGATCCTCTGCAGGTAGCAAAATCTGCAGATGTTCAAATCCTTTAATATAAAATGGCACAGCATTTGCAAATAACTTTGCGAATAACCCTCCAGAAAACTTTAAATCATCTCTAGATTTACCTGTAGTACCTTGGTAATTCTTTTGCAGAATTCTGGTCATGGAATTCATTCCACACTTCTGGTTGTAACCAAATTGCAAGTAGAATTGTGGAAAGAATTTAGCTCAGTGGTTCAAGAGCTTTCCTGGTAAGTGTGAGGTAGTAAATTCAATCCCGGACACACACACACACACACACACACACACACACACACACACACACACCAATGATATGTATTAAGTAATAATATGCAAATACTATATAAATAGTTGTATTTTAGGGAACGATGACCAGAAAAAGGTCTACACATGTTTAGTGCAGCTGCAAATTTTTTCCAAAAAAAAAAAAAAAAAATTTCCTACTGTTGGTGGTTAAATTTTCTGAATGCAAAACCCACGGATTCTGAAGAGGGCAGACGGGGCAGGAAATGGCTCCCAGTAGGACCTTTGTCCTAGTCTCGGTTTCTTTCTTTTAATAGTTGGATAACAGCGCTCCTGGGGCTGCAGACTATGAGAAGTCAGGAATATGGCAAGGTGAGTGCCCATGCCTGTGCCCTGCAGATAGTGACTGTGCTGAATTTCCTCCAGCAACACCCAACAATTTAGTCTTCTGAAGAACGTTCCCTACAGAGAACAACTTGACTGGTTTCTCAGACAAGTCTTGCACCTGTCTCACACAGGGAGAATTAAGTTCCACAGAGATCACGGGACTGGCACAAGTCAGGTGGCAGGTGACCGGCAGCCTGTAGGCTCCTGACCTCGGGAGTCCTGGTCCGTCTGTGGAGTCACTGCCGCTCTGCCCGGGTGGGACCCCATGGCCTGGCAGGCGGGGCAGCCAGGCAGGGTGCCCGCGGCGGGAGCACAGAGGGCCTTTGTGCCAAACCGGCACCACCCCCTGGCCGGCCTCTCCCTGCTCAGGAGACAGACTACCTGCGCGGCATGCCACCACCCCGCAGACAGCTCCCCAGCCAGTCGGCGCTACAGGTCCAGAGCTGCTCCCCGACCGTGCGCGCTGCACAGCACAGCGCAGCTCACCTGGCGCGACTGCCCCGCTGCCCCAGCCTCGCGGGTCCCCTCCCTCGGAGAGGGCTAGGGTTTGATTATTAACCCGGAGCCTGCATAAAGAGTGAGCGGCCTGTGTGGACGGAAAGGACTCCACGCCATCGCCATGGACAGTGCTACCTGGGGCCCCGCGGCCACCACCCCTTCCCCACCTGTGCAGTCCTACGAGCGCATCCGTAATGCAGGCGACATCTCGGTCATCATCATTTACTTCCTGGTGGTGATGGCTGTTGGGCTGTGGGTATGTGAAGGCTCTGGGAAATGGGCTGAAGGGACAAGGGCCACCGGATGGGGTGAGGAGGGGCACACAGAGAATTGATGGGTGAGCTGCAAGGGGGCCGGTGGGCTTGCAGATCTACGAGGGGAGAGGAAATGCCTGGACACAGTGGGGAGCACGGTGAGAGGGGGGCAAGCAGGAAAATCACGTCAGAGGGGCGCCTGGGGAGTTTGCCAGGAGGGCCGAGGAGAATCCTGGAGCCTGTGAGCGGAAAAGGGAGACAGAGGATGGCAGACAAGGGGAGAGAGCAAGGGAAAGTGGCGATGTGGCGCCCAGAGGGAGGGTCTTCAGGCAGGTGACTACTGTCCTGCCTTTCAGTTACCCGGTTTTGGATGAGAACGTTGCATGCAGTAAAGCCACAGCTTTTGCCAGCAGGTGGGGTTAGGGGTGGGGGTGAGTGGCTGACCAGTGTCCAGTCCTGGGCTCCAGGGGAAAGTTCTCCCAGAGATGGCAGTGAGTTAGAGATGGAAACCTGGGTGGACCAGGAGGAGAAGGAAGACCAGAGGGTGGCCTGGTGTTGGAGAGAAGGAAGTGCTTGTGTCTTTTCTTGGGGCTCTGAGTACATACCAAACCAGAGAAACTCGTTCTCTGAAGCCTGGAACTTGGGAAGTTCATTTATGACAGAATCTGGCACACCTACCAACTAGAAGAGGTGTTTTAAAAGTGTGCTAATATTCCAGCCACTGTCAAGTGACAGGTAGAGAGAGGCTGTCATGCAAGCAGGTGGTTGTGCCACACTTTTGACTTAGAGAAGAGCTGGAGGAGGCATGAATCCTTTCATAGATGCTCAGCTTTTGCAGGGATTTAAGGAAGCATAAATTAAAAAAAAAAAAAAAAAAGAAGCAGTTGTGGAAACCAAATGTGGACGAAAGACTTCCAAAATGTCACACGAGGTCAAAGTTGCTGGCTCTTCCTCAGTATTCTCAGTGGCACCAAAAATGTACAGCTAGGAACCAGAATACTTGTTTAGTATTGACCTTGACATGGTTCAAATGATGTAGGATAGCTTCCTACAGCTTCAGTTTACCACGTATTAAAATAGGTAAACTGCATCTATTCTAGTGACTCTACAAGGATATTGTGGTTCTGGAGAGATGAATCTGAGAGCTATTTTTGGACTCTATATGTAATAATAATAATACAATAATAATAATAATAAAATAATAATAATAATAATAATAATAATAATAATAAAGCAAACAGATACACTGTCATCATTTCCCCTAAGGGTATGATCCAGGTCCTCAATAATTTTTGTCCTTTTAGGTAAAATGGGTAAAACAATGAGTAGTTTATCTTTACAAACAGTCACAAGACAAAGGAGAAAGGAATACTAAATGCTATTTTACAGAGGAGGAAGTTGAAGCCCTATGCAGTTGTGATTTGCTAAAGATTTTGCAATAGCTGGGATTGTTCCTGGAACTCAGGTGTCTTAACTCCTGGTTTTCCTTGGTACCGTGGACTCTGTCACAGTACCTGCCTTCATCACTCCCACCTCACCCTGCTTTTTATGTTCCGGAGCCAAGATGTGAATTCATTGTTTTTCTAGCCCTCTTTTCTTGCCCAGTTTCCTGGACAATCACTAATTATCTTGGTTTTCTTAACCAGTTTCACTTTAGCTCTGCCAGTCTGAGAATACTTACACTTTTTAAAAAATGGTTTTGCTCTGTTGAAATGGCTGTGAATTCAGAACCACTTGTCCTGTTAATTGTTACTTAATAAACCTGCAACTGTTCATCTGCATTTAATCTTTCCCATTAGTCAATGCCTCTGGACCCTTTAACATGCTGGATTTCTTCCAGTCAACTCATCTCTTAGCTGCTGAAGTGTAAAAAGTAGCTTGGTTTAGAGTTGGGCATTCTGATTCTTGTGTGATCTCTGGGCTGAACAAATAGAAGAGTCCAGGGCCATAAGATCTTCTCGTTAGAAAAATCACTCGTGGTCAGTGTCCCTCTGTCACCATCTCTATCTCTTCCAACATCATTTGGTTCTGTCTTATACTCTTCCTAGTTTGCCTCATTCAATCATATTTGGGTTTGACTTATAACTTCTTTGATATTTATTTACATTTTTCTTTCACTATCTCTCAGCTTGCTTCTTTGGGAGATTTTATATCCTTTAAAACTGAATCTTTGATCTTATTCTTGGTGGGAGAATTTGTTAAGCTGTCCTGAAACCCCTTCAAGCCAGGGATTGTTAAAAATTATGGCCCATGGGCCAAATCTTACCGCAGTATGTTTTTATATGGGTCACAAGCAAGGAATGGTTTTTATAACTTTAAAGAGTTGTGGAAACAAAACAGGACAAAACAAAATAAAACAATATGTTTCAGAGACTTTATGTACTCACGAAACCTGAATGATTTACAATCATGTCCTTGTTCTTTAAAATATGACTGTATCTTCTGTAATCATTAAGACCCTTATTTTATGCAGCCATTTGAACTAGTGGCATAACTAGTGATGTCTGAACTGGAATGGCCTCTGGAGAGCTCAACTTCCCTATTTTGCAAGTGAGGATTCGAGAGGGTGAAATCATTCAATACAAGACCTACAATTAAAAACCAGATTTTATGATTTTAATGCCAATGCTCTTTCTAATAGTCTTCCTTTCAACCTCCCTAAGACAAGATCCTCTCTGTAAATACTCTCTCCACTGGCCTTTGTACCACTGCATTGCTGTGACAGTGTCCCTGTGATGCCAAATTCCTTCTTTCATCACATATTTTCCTTAAAATAGAAGCTAATATTTACTGCCTTCAATCTTCTTCATTCTATGCTCACATTTCTTCTTTAGATCATTTGACAAAATCATTTTGGCAAGTTGTCAACAGTTTTCACTTGCATACTTCCAAAAGAAGCTCTTCCCACTGACCCCACTCTCATTTCTGGACAGCCCTAAGAAAGGGGATATCCTTCTTGTACTCAGGCCTGATATCCCAGGACTGACATCCCAGGACTTGTCCCATTTTCTCTGATTATACCCAGTGTAGTCTATGCTAAGTGACCGTTCCACTTTACCTATCAGAAGACACCAGGTCACATTTGAGCTTTCTTTCCCTCTCCAGTTTACTAATCTCTCATCTAAACACTGTTGAGTTATTTCTTTTTGCTCACTAACATTGCTATTCTCATTGTTATTGAGAAAAGAACAAAATAAAAAACAACAATATTGTGAGACCATAACTGTGCTTCTTTCCCTTCTGAAGTCTATGATCATGGGTCACTCTTACCTAGTTGTAGAACGAGCAGGTGAATTTAGTGGCACTTCCAATGGAATGTGTAATGTTGGTGTTTTCTTCATGCATCCCTTGATCATGAAACAATGCCTTTTTACACACAAGCCATTTACTAAACTTCATGAGAGATTTTGGAATATGAAGGAAGTGTAACGAGGGGATCAAAATCAAAATATGTATGTATTGAAACTCAATACTTTGTAAAATTAATAGGTACTAATACAAGGAAAAAATGAAAAACATTTGTAATGTGGTGACACAAAGTAAAAAATTGGAAGCACTTTGAACAAGATATATGTAGAATTTTTGGCTGTAATCCCAGAACTTGGGAAGCTGAGGCAAAAGGATTGCAGTGTGTTCCAGGCCAGCCCGAGCTACACTGTAAGTTCAAGTCCGGCCTTATCTCAAAAGAAAAACATAAGGGCACCTTATTTCGAAACAAAAACAAAAACAATAGCAAAAGCAAAGAAATCATCAAAACAAACCAACAACAACAACAATAAATGGAATTTTCCAGGTATTTAGAGTATGAAGAGAGTTCTTGTGGTGGAGGGAGTCATAGGGGAGGTTTCCCAGGGAATGTAGGGCCTGGGTTTGCAGAGAAGTGGGGGTGAGCACACTCTAGAGGAAAAGACCCAGTGTACACGCACCTCTCCTTACCTCTTGTCCGTGCCAAACGCCTTTCCTGAATTATTCTTGCTCCTTATTTTAGATCCTGCTCTCATATTCTTCCTCTTAATTCCTTGTTTCTGAGATCAACTACAAAATGCCATTTCCTGGGCCCCAAACCAACTTTTCTTGTCTGTTCAAGAGGGTATCAACCTTCTTTGACTCAGAATGACCTTCAGAATGGCCTCCAGGTGATTGTTGGAGCCTGAATCTTTGGGATTTATTTGTTTCTTGTCCTCTGTTTCTCTGTCAAGTATTCCTTGTCATTTTTGTCCAAAGGACCCTCCCCATATTTACTGTACTTGTCACAATATGTTGTGAAGTAATGATTCCAGAGATCTCCTATCTACATTATCTTGTAGAAAATATTTGAATTGAGTCTGAATGTGTGTGTGCATGCTCACGTGTGTGCGTGTAATATTTACTATGAATGCTTTGCATTTTTATAGCATCTTTCATTTTTTCTGGAAACAACTTTGTTGAGACATTGTTCACATACAATATTGAGAGTTTAAAAAGTATGTTCTTTATTAGGTATATGCTAACGCTCGTAAGAAAGACACAAAAGTTCCATTTCCTCCTGTTCAGCACACAAATAAAGAAATCTAGGTGGAGTGACTTGCTTGAAGTCATGAGGTAAGGTAATTGCAGAACTAATACCAGGGCAAGTTGTCCAAACTTTCTGAGCTCAGTTTCCTTGTCTGTCAAATGTAGGTGCTTGCTTCATTCAGCTGAACATATTGAGGCTTTAGGGAAACAGGAATGTTTCCCTAAGAAAAAGAGAATACAGTAAAAGAAAATCCCTTTGTGTGGGGAGGTACATCCTTTTAGTGAGCAAGGTCTATTAATTTGGTTTTTTTTTTTTTTTTTTTTTTTTTTTTCCAGACAAGGTCTTTCTATGCAGTTCAGGCTGGCCTTGAGCTCACTTTGTAGCCCAGGATGGTCTCTAACTCACAGTGATCCTCCTGCTTCAGGCTTCTGAGTACTGGGATTACAGGTGTGCATCACCACATCTGGCTTCTTTTAATTTGTTGACCCTTTCTTTCTCAGGCCATGTTTTCCACTAATCGTGGGACTGTTGGAGGCTTCTTCTTGGCAGGTCGAAGTATGGTATGGTGGCCGGTAAGTTTTCTCTGAAATCCTATTTGTTTATGTATGTTTTAGAAATCCATTTTCTTTTTGACTTTGGATGGTGGCAATTCTTTCTTCTCATCTAAATCCTTGATAATAGGTCTCATGCTCACCAGGTATCCTGGGTAACCTTAATCTTTGTGTTAAGTAAATAGCCTTTAAATAATTAAAACTTGGAATCCTTCAAGGAATAGAAGAAAACATTGAATAGGAGGGCAGTATGGAGAAACAAAAAGAACACATGTATCAAAGCAATCTTGGATAAATCTGAGCTTCCATTTTCTTTTTTTGTGTTTTGTTTTTGAATCAGAGTATTTGCTATGCAGTTCAGGCTAGCCTTGAATTTACTTTGTAGCACAGGTTGGCCTCAAACTCATGTTATCCTCCTGCCTCAGCCTCTCAAGTGCTGGGATTACAGGTGTGCATCACCATCCCTGACTCTAAGCTTCCTTTTCTTTAGCTATATGATGTGCTCGATAATATATACTTTATAGGAAGGTTATGAAAAGTAGAGACTTCGTATAAGATGGAAAATCAATAATTAATATCTCTTTCCTAGTTCTTTCCTACTTCAGATCTCATGGAAGAGACATTTTTGTCTGTCCTACATTCTCCAGAGTCTAGTTCAATGTCTGATACATAGGAACCCTTGATACATATTCACTGAATACATGGGAACTCAGCTTTTTAAAAGATTTCCAATTGCAGTTTTTCTCTGGATGAAACTTTTTAACTCTTAATAGGTTTTATATTTAATTTATTTAAGTCATGTTTTACCTAACATAAGGAGTGTTTTATGTAACACTTGTACATGGGCAGAACTAAGCCAGTGAAAGGACATGTGCCTGGGTGGGAGAGAAACCAGGACATTTCTTCCTTCATATCAACACAGGCTCACTGAGTGGCTTATCAGTTCAGTCCAGTGACCATTTTGAGTTCTTCTCACTGAAGCAATTGGTTGAATCATTTGGCAAAAGTGTGTAATTCCTTGGACCTAAAATACAAGCTTAGCTGATCAAATACAAGGGTAATGAAGCATACATAAAATGAACAGGGAGTGTCAGATGTGAGGTGAATGGAGGAAGAAATAAAGGCAGTCACTGTTATAATACGCACAGCCCACAGAGAACCTATCAGGAAGTCATACCATATCCTTAGTTGATGTTTGATCAGCTATTTTGGGATGAAGTTTAGTAACTAGAATTTTAACAGTCAGTTGGGTTCTACCTAAAGTCATTTCAATATTAAAAAGTTCCATATTTAGTGTATAAAATGTTTGGATATATGGATACACTGAGATGATTACATCAAATTAATGTACTCATCACCTCACACACTTTTTGAAATTTATTTTTATTAGTACATGCTTGCAATACATACAATTATATTTATCATGGGGAATTGGGATATAACACATCTTGATTCTTTTTCTTTCGTGCGAAGAATAAGTTCTACTATTTTAGCGATTTTTTTTTTTTTTTTGTCTTTTGGAGACAGGGTTTCTTCAGGTAGCTCAAGCTAGCCTCAAACTCACTTTGTAGCCCAGGATGACCTCAGATTCCAAGTAATCTTTTTGCCTCAGATTCCCAAGTGCTGGGATCACAGGTGTGCGCCACTATACTCAGCAACTATTTTAGCAGTTTTGAAATATACAATGCATTACTATTAGCTAGGGTAACTGTGCGGATCTCCAGAATTCATCCATCCTAACTTTGTAACCTTTGGCCAACATCTTCCCACCTGCTCCCCACAACCTTCCCCATGAGCCTCTGACAACCACCATTCCATTTGGTTTCTATTATTTCCATCTTGTAAGATTTCATATTAATGTGGAACCATGAAGTCTCCTAATTTATTCTTAAGGTGGTCAAGAATACTGGGTAGATGATGATCTTTATGCTTAGTCTTTCATGTGATCTCTTTTTATAACTTCTATAGTTAAAAGGAAGTATAGGCTAGAAGCACATACATTTGGATTCCTCCTTTCAATTCTGTATCAGGGCTTTTTGTGTTCTCATGCTCTGGGCTTTGATACTTTCTTAAAAGCAGGCATGAAAGAGGCAGCTCTTATGGAAAAGTTGAAGATAAGTTTGAGGTTGCTCTTTTAGAACTGTATTGTCCAACATAGCCACAACCTCATCTATATATATATATATATATATATATATATATATATATATATATTTTTTTTTTTTTGTAGTGGGAGTTGAACTCAGGACCTTGTGCTTGCCAGGCAGGTGCTTCTGCCACTGACATACCTCCAGCCCTTTAAATGAGATTTTAATTAGGCAAAATTAAAAGTTGCATCTGAGTGTGGTGGCATATGCCTGTTATCCCAGCCCTCAGTAGGCAAAACCGGAAGCATTATCTAGAATTTGAGGACAACCTGGGCTACACAGTGAGTTCGAGATGAGCCTTAAGTATATAGCAATACAATACTATTCCTGTCTCAAAAAACCAAACAAAAATTAAAAATTGCTTGCTGTGGTCACATAGTCGTATTTCAAGATCTTTACATTTATTTGTGGATAGTGCCTACCACCCTTAGTTTACAACCACCTCATCTTTCTTTCCCCATTATTACATGACAAGAACCACACTACCTTCAAGATTAAACCATTGCACTTTTAGATAGCTATTTTCCCTTCTATTGATTGCAACCAAGATTGCATTGCATTTCTTTGTATAAAAATTTTAGAACTGATATAGTGGAGATGAGATTTTTTTTTTTTTTGTACTGGGGATCAAACTCACGACTGCACGCTTGCAAGGCAGGCACTTATGACACTGAGCTAAATCCCCACCCCTGGAGATGAGATTTTAACTTCTAATCTCTGGGTTTTGGAGAGGACAATGAGAGGAGGGATGGGGCAGGATCACACTTAGAGCATTCACATTTTGTACAAGGTCTGGGAATGCATGACGTCTTCACTAGAAATGGTGCCTTTCTTCCTAGTAGTTCCTGTATTTGGGTTTGGTTCATGAAAGGGATTAACCCAACCAAAAGTAGATAGGATTCAGTGTTTTTTTTTGTGGGGTTTCTGATGGGTGTTGTTTTCCTCATGTGCATCTCAAGATTGGATTACCCTAACCAAACGTAGTACTGTTTTTCTTTCATGAAGCCACTGCTTCCTCGTGATACATTGACATTCAACTCTTTTCCCCATCCATAGTTTCCACTTAAGCCTTCTTAAGATTTTGTAAATGGTTTCGGTATCTGTCCACGTATCAGAATCATGCGAGATGACACAAGTATAGCGTTCAGCACTCTATTTGGACAGTGATTAATAGATGGGGACAGTAAGAAATGGAAGGGAGGCTAGGAGTGCTGAGGGAACTTCCCATTTGTCATCCGTCCAGTGCACAGTACTTAGTGCTCAGGAAATAGAAATCAGTATTTATCTGAAACTATCGTGCCTGATTCCCTTTAAATTTTTCAGATTGATTACATGAATAAATTAACATGATTCATATGTATATTAGAGTTGATGATTTATAATAGAAAAATAAATAAATGTTCACATAAGTCATGTTAACTTATTTAAGTGTATTGCATCTCATAGTCAATCGTGGCATGTCATAAATAAAGTGGCAGGTTTTTTTCTTTCTTTGTGCTACATTGTATGTTTTATGCTAAGTTGGTGTCTTAGATGTCAAAAAATGTTGATATTCTAAGGTACTATTTGTTATACTCTGTTAACCACTACACTTTGCATTTGCAAAAATACTTTAAAGGTTGTGCATTTTTCTCTACCTCCTAGCAACTCAAGTTTTATTGTATAGAAAGGAAACTGTTAATATTTTATTTGAGAACAAGGTTCTGCTGACAAAGTTTGAAAAGTGATAATTTGTAAGAAAAATAAGCACAATGGTTTTCATTCTAAAATTTAGAATAGTTTTAAACACTACAGTAATGTACGCTTGGAAGAAGGAATTAAAGAAAAATATGGCATGTGAGAAAATACACATCTAAGTACTTTCCTTCCAAAATTGACAAATATTTAAAATAGCATCAAAACTGCACTTATAAATTTTCATATGAAATAAAATATGAAGTCTGTTAAGGCTATTACTGGTTAATAAATCCAAAACTAGAATATCAGTTCTAATACCTATTGATTCAACAAGTCTGTCACAGAGGCTCTTCAGAACTAACATCTCTCTTGGCCTGCTATGACAGAAAGCTTACAGAGGAGTCCTTTGCCCCTCTGCTTTTGTCTTTATCCCAGTTTCTTTGTGCTGTAGGGGGAGCAACCAGAGAAGCTCCTAAAAGAGTCCTAGGGGATCTCAGGATGGGAGCAGTTATGTTGACCCTGGGTACATAACTGAGACAGGGAAGGCTTGGGAGTAACCTAGGAGAAGAGCAGGAGAAAAATCAGAGCTCATAAAGCCAAAAAGGAAATAGGGTAGGAGAGAGTTTGGTCTAGGTACTCCTAGGTAGATTTGAAAAGAGTGCTTAGGATGAGTAACGGTGAAAATCCACGAACTCTAGGAAAACAGCAGGATCTTAAAGTTAGTGAGTTCCAGAGAGGAAAACAGATTGTACCTTGGCCTGACGATAGAAGTGAGGGACAATCAGGGGTGGGGTAAGGACTTCAGGGCTGAAATTACAAGAAGAGTCTGTTTATCCAGGGAGCCAGAAAGGAAAGCCCTAGCAGCCTCAGTCACTTTAAGGCAAGCCAAGGCAACGTAGCAGCTGAGTAACATGAAACCATGTAGGCATACTTAAGCAATTGTGGACTGGGTGGCGCTCAGGATTCCCTTTTTCTGTGGCACTGTGGTTTGGCACCTTCAACAGCTGCTTGTGTGTGGTATTGTGATGATTAAAAGATGTGGGAGACCTGAAAGTAGGAAGACCAGGAAGCTCAGCAGCTGACCTGTGCAGGGGAATTCCTGACTTCTTTGCTAGAGGCAGCAGATTACTCAGAGAAGCCAGGCCCCAGATGCACAGTCCAGAGAGAGATTCTTTTTTTTTTTCCTGGAGAATTTGG